TAATGCAATTGACCCTAAGATGTTTGCACATGTGTTTCTAATCTCTATATACTGATTATTACTAGTCAGTTGGTTACTTTCTGAGCTCCTTGGCATCTGAGCATGGATATAAAGTCGTCAGGTAGATTTCAATGGTAATGTTTTTCACATCTACTAATTATTAAGGGGCAAATTTTTATGCTTTGAAGAATTATTATTTTTTTTAATTTCAACTACTTTTTTGTGCCCCCTCAACCTTCTTGACTACAAACCAACTTTATTTTTAAAATATTTTTACATTTTTTAATTTGTGAGTACATGCGTATATTTGCACACAGCATATGCAGTCCACAGTGCACATATAGAGGTCAGAGAACAACTTGTGGGAGTCAGTTCTCTCCTTCCATGATATGGGATCTGGGGATTGAACTCGGGTCATCAGACTTGGTGCCAAGCACCTTTATACACTGAGTTATTTCACTAGTCCCTACTTTTTTTTCAATTCCTATGATTAATCAGAGGTTTCTGAAATTTTTACTTGATGCTTGGGTGAAATTTTTTAAAAGGAGAAGAGGAGGAAGAGGAAGAGGCTGGGAAGAGGGGAGTCTTTTATCCTACACGCCTTCTCTCTCTTTCCCTCATCACATGCACCATCTGTTCTTCCTATCTGAGGTCTCTGTCTTGTTTAGGCATTTTTGTGAGGGAGGAATGTTGTTATTTTACAATTCTTAGACTCCAGCCCAGGTCCTCGCTCATGCTAAGCAAGCACTTCTCCACTGTGGGTCTTAATGAAGCCTCTTTCAACTCAGTGGGTGCTGAGCTATGGTTTGTGATTTAATATTTCTAGCAAATAGATGAAAAACTGTCTGGCTGATTGAGTGTCACTGTTGAAGTACAAATTTCTATGTGCTTTGTAAAATCAACTGTGCCCAGGAGCTTCACTGCTGAAGTGAATTTGCCCTTAGGTGAAAACATCTCAGTCCTTACTCTTAACCTGGTATCTGAATTGTTTTTTAAGCCAACAAAAATTATTTTCTAGTTCTTAAAAACACTCTGACATAAATGGGTAGGGAAATGGGTCCAAATGCATAGGAAATTTTAAGTTGCATATCATTACTCAATTATCTTACATATTATAATAAGAGCTACCTATGGAAACTTGACCAAATTATAATGATTCTTTGAAATAAAGACAGGAAACCAAATAGTCCCATGATTTGAAGAAAAATGATAACATTTTAGTAAAGCGTACTACATCCTGTCTTGAATATATGTAAATGATGCATATCTAAAGATATGTATGTTTGCTGTGTCTAAAAGGGGAAGTACACTTTGGAGGCCAGGAACATTTTTATGTGGAAATTCAAAGTATACGGGTGGTACCCAGAGCAGAGGATAAAGAAATGGACATATATGTGTCAAGCCAGGATGAAGCATTTACACAGGTAAGTGTCTCTCTTGGATCACAGCTATGGTACTTCTAAATGAAATATTGTCATCTTTCTGAGTTATACCTACGAAACCAAGGTCCTAAGATAACATTTAGACAAAAGTTGAATGAATATCAAGCTAGAGGTAAACCAGACCCCAATTTTTTTACTAATTTGCCCTAGTCTTCTACAAAGCTTACCTCCCTTCATCTCAAATTATGACTGTCTCCTACTTCATTAGACAAAATAATAAATGAGGCTATCAATTATGAATGTTACCAGTCTCAGTTTTTCCTGACCCATCCTTCCTCCAGCCTGCAGGCAAGTGGTCCTACCTCCTCTTCAGTGCCAAGCTTTACATCTCCACCTTTGGCCCCATTTGCTCCCACATTTACCTCTCCTGTGTTCTGTTCTAACTCCTCACTGTCCATTCTGACCAGTACATAAAAGTGAGTCTGCCCCTTCTCTCCCTCTCTCTCTCTCTCTCTCTCTCTCTCTCCTCTCTCTCCTTCTCTCTCTCTCCCTCTCTCATGCGCACGCGTGTTTGTGTGTGTGTGTGTGTGTGTGTGTGTTCATATGGGTATTCATGCACGTTTGCATGTGTGTGTGGAGGTCAGAGGTCAGCTTCAGGCATTGTTCCTCCGATGTTGTCCATCTGGTCTCTCACCGACTGGCTGGACACCAGACCCTAGAGATCCACCTGTCTCCACTTCCCCAGCGATGGGATTACAAGTGTATACCACCACACCTGGCTTTTTTTTACACAAGTTCTGGAGACTGAACTCAGACCCTTGTTTGTGCAGCAAGCACTTTAGTGACTGAGCCATCTCCCTAGCCCAAGTTTGCCCCATTCTTAAAAGTGACCCTCTAAGTGTAGTGTAGTACCACACACCTATAATCCCAGCACTTGGGGGGCTAAGGCAGAAAAATTCTAACTTTGAGATCAGCCTGAGCCGTACAGTGAGTTCAAAGCTAGCCTAAGCTAAATATCAAGACTCTGTCTCAAAAAAAGTGCCCCTTGACTGTGTTTCACCTGGTGGCTCTTGCTTCTGTCTCTCCTTCCCTTCTGAGACACGCTGTAAAACGCTTGCTCGCACTTCCCACTATATATGCCTCAGTTCACAGTTTCTGCAGTTGCCAGTTGTTGCTGCTCCTCAAATCTAAAGGACGCTGTCCTCTCCTTCCTGGACATCTCTGCTCTGCGCCCCTGCCCCCCCAGATGATTTGTTTCTTCACAATCCTTTGCTACTTTCTTCTTCTGCTGAGTGACAGGACCTTTTCAAACTAAAACCTTACAAGGCAGGAGAGATGACTCTGCGGCTAAGAGCACTGGCTGCTCTTACAGAGGACCCTGATCTGATTCCCAGCACCCACGTGGCAGCTAACAACCATCTGTAACTCCAGTTCCAGGGGATGTGAAGCCCTCTTCTGACCCCTGTGGGCATTGTATGACATGGGTATACTTACATACATGCAGAAAATACACTCATACACATAAAATAAAAACAATAATAAAATACTTTTTAAAAACTTTACATAATGAAATCTAAGAAGGAAATGAAATGGCTGTGTGTATTTATATAAACACATATGTATCCATGAATTCCTATAATAGTCTCCCTTATAGTTACAACATAATCATTCTTCAGAAATTTAGTATTGATCAACAGTATTTGATAAATGAACCATATTCAAATTTCCCGAGTGGCTCAGTGATATCCTGGATTTTATATTTTTTGTTGTGCTTTTTTTTTTTTCTGATCTAGGACCAAGTCCAGGATCATGCATTACTTGTCACTTTAATATTATTTGACTTAAATCCAGTGGCAGTACACAGAGTGCCAAGTTCTAATTTCCTTGGGTTAATGTTTTGTGGTAATAGCAATTTTACATGTAGCTGGGGTTGTTTGTTTCTGTTTATATTCAAGTTTAGAGAATTGTAGAGGATTTGTCTTTATTTATTTTTACATAAGGTCTCCTGTTCTTCACCAGTGTCCTTGTGTGTCAGAAGTGTAATATACCATCTCTTGCCAACCTACCTGCCATAGATTATCTAGGTGTGAACCCTTAAAAGACAGGCTTTGAGCTCAGACTGGGGATGTTTACTTCCATCTCTGCTCCCTGAGTCTGGCCATGGCATGTGGATAGCCCATGGGAGTCACATTGCCCCAGACAGAAATCACTCAGCTAACTCTTTACGGTTAGGTGGTCCAAATATCATATGCACATTATAATCAGGAGTTTTTTGAAGGTAGATGTTGTGTCCTCTTCCCAGATGATATGAACCAAATCCCTGGCTTTGAGATCCCCAAATCCCACTCAGCTATTCTTTAAAGTATCATCTTATGGGGAGATGCTTCTCAGGTTTGCAAGCCTTCAGCATGAGATCATCAATGTGCTGCCCAAATCAAGTATCTGTGGATCACATTCTATGAAGGGATGATTTTTTTTCTCAAATGAATCAAGAATTAGTTATGCATTCATAAGCTTTTAGAATTTTATAGAACTTAAAAGTAATATAGATAATAGAATTATAATCACATTTGGTGGTAGTTTGATATTAATTTTTAATTTATTCCTCATCTAAGATGAGGGCCTCAAGCTGTCCTTCTTTTATGCCCTGATTCTACCATATTTCTGTGTTTCTAGTGTCTTTTCTTACTCCTGCACAGCTCCATAGGCATCACATCTTTGCTTTCTGGCCCTTCTCAAACTGCATAGATTATCCTGACCCACGCAGACGATGGTCTGTTATCATCATGTTTCCACAGCGGTGCCCCCATCGCTCTCAGCCCAGGATGTCTCCTGCTGTGGTGTGCCTGTGGCTTCCCTTCCAGCCACCCTCAGCCCTACTTCCTACCTTTCTATCCCACAGGTGAGAGCTGTTTGCAGCACGCTGTGCTGGTGGCCATACTCTTCCACCCAGCGAGGCAGGAGGAATCATTTCATGATTGATGTCTGACTTAAGCATGGATCCTCTGCTGAGCAGAAGCACAGATCATATAAAGCATGGGAGCTGTTGTTTTTGAAATGTCTGTCCTCCCTGGCTGTTGCAGGGCTCACCATAGCCACTTCTCACCTACTATAGCCAGTCATTACCAGCTTCCCTGTGGTCTACCCGCTTCCACTTCAGGCCCTCCCCTGGTTTATGGCAGGCCCAGATTTACCTTCATGTCACTTGGACTGCCGATCAGCTCTGCTTGCCTGACTTGGGATCCTGTTTATTATTTCCTTCTGTATAGCTTCTTCTATCTTTTCTGCCAGCTCATGCATACAGGATATTAATTCTCAGAGCTAAGTGGGGGACAGTCTCCAGGATCCTTTCCAGGCCTGTAGGGGCTGCTGAGCAGAGCAGAATGGGGAGCTTGGTGTGGTTATTTTGCAATGTGATCTATCATTAATTAATTTTGTAAAATAATACCAATGTATCCTTTTAACTGGAATGTACCAAAATCTGTAGTGTTTTCTGCAGTCAGTCTCCAAAATAGATAAAAAAATATATTCTTATTATGAGAAATGGAAAAATGATACAAAATTTCTTCTTGCTAACCATGTGTGTTCTACGTTGTCTTCTTGGGGGCCTGTGACCAACCCCTAATTCACAGGAAATGGCGGCTCACACCTTAGGCATCCCAAAGAATAGGATCAATTGCCATGTGAAAAGAGTTGGTGGAGCCTTCGGAGGGAAATCAAGCAAGCCTGGGCTCCTGGCAGCCATGGCAGCCCAGAAGTAAGTGACTCTATACGCCATACTCACATGGATGTGTTCCAAAACTCCCAAAACCTTTCTAAGAGACACCCAGAATGTAAGCCAAGGGACTGCTGGCCTATTCGGGCCCAATTACCAAGGGTCACTACAGGGACATAGGATCAGCTCACCTGTCTTCCTGCCTTCAGGCCAAGTCAGCAGTAGCCTGAAGTGAATTTTGATCTCACTCTCCTGTGTTTTCAACTCAAAGACCATCTCGCCTCTCAAATGCCAAGGAAATAAGAATAAGTGAAGCAGACAATTTGATTAGTCCACAATATTCATTGAGACATAGGCAAAAGTCCACAGAGTTAGAAGGTAGAACAGGAGGAAAACAAGAATACGTAGATATTAGCCGTGGCTGATTTATCACTTCTTAAAGAAGAAGACACCTGATAACACATTAAAAATTTAGTGTGTTTAGAAGAACATGGAAAACTGCTGACAGCTGTACTTTCTGGAAGAGCTATGTGGCTGGGTACTGCAGCAAGAGACATATTTTTCAGGGTTCCCTTTTAGATTTTTTGAATAATGTCACATGTATATAACCTATTCAAAAATTAAATTTTTATAGCTGTTATTGATGCACACAGCCAGGAAAGAATGCTGACATAATACTGAAAGGGCCCAATTTCAAATCCCACAGAAGCATCTAGGGAGAGTAATCAAGTTCATGAGCCATCACACATACAAACACACAATGTTCTAGAAAAGGACACAATTACAAAAATATGAGGTGTATGCCCAATGTTAGTAATCCCAACCATATCTAGGAAGACTGGGATGGTAAGAGCATTACAAATGAGGAATTTTTAAGGGAGTTATTGAAAGAAGGGAACTGAGACTGGTATGCTGGTAGGATGCCACCAGATGCCCATAATTTTAAAAATTAGTATTATTTTATTATTCTGCATATATGATGGTTATGTGGTTGTGTACATACCACCACACATGCGTGGAAGTCGATTCCCCCCTTCCATCTTGTGAGTTCTGGGGATTGGACTGGGGCTGCCAGGCTGGCTCACAGCACCTTTACCTGATGAGCCACCTCACCAGCCCCATTTATGAGATTTCTTAGAAGGTAGCACCTAATACTCTTCTGGAAAGGGGTATGGGACATAGACTGAAGGTATAAATGGACACAGAAGACTCTAGAATTTTGACTGTAGTCATCTGAATGTAACAAAATAATGAAGACTCGGATAAGGGGGCACTTGTTAAAAAGAAGATTAAATCCTAGACATTTTGTATAAAAACTAAATGACATGATTTAACATGAATTGTATTTGGATGAAGAATATGAGAAATTAATACATAAAACCAAATTTGCAGAATAACCAATGCCACTAAAATAAATAATGAGGCCATGAAATATAAGAATATAGAAGTCACAGAAATCTCAGTCTTCAGAGGGTTTTACACTTTCTAGTTGACTCTGAGGAGAAAATATAACTCATAGCTATTGACCATTTTTAAGAATTCTGAGGCAGGCCCAAAATAGCCACAGAAATGCCCTGCCGTGGCTCTTAGAAAGATCCATGTAAAAGGAAGCTTCCCAACAGCCATCTATCATGAAACAGCAAGAAACCCATAGCTTACTCTCCTTCCTGGGAGTAACTGTGTTCTCATATGGTGAATGGAATGACATGATTACTGGAAAACGCCACAAACCTGAACTCAAATCTCAAATCAGAATGCTGATTCGCTTTCTTTCTCTCTAGGACTGGCTGCCCAATCCGTTTTGTTCTTGAGTGTGGGGACGACATGTTGATAACTGGAGGGCGGCACCCACTACTAGGGAGATACAAGGTAAGTGCACAGCAAAGTCACCACACACATACCAGTCCAGGGACCTGCTGGCTCTCAGTTCCAGGTCTGCAGAGCTCTATGTTTACCCACACGTTACTGCACTCTACCTTCTTATGAAGCATCAGTATTGCCCAGTGTGACAGCTGAGTCCCTGCACGCAAGCAAAAAGGAAATATTAATCTGGAAAATGGGAGAAAAGTCAAAAGTGAGCAGACACTGGCATTCGCAGGTCTCTCCATTTCTGGGATGTCTGGGATATAATTATTTTAGGATTTAGAGTTGGAGCTTGATTCATCCTGTGAATCCATGACTCTAGTTAGAAATACTTCTCTTGCTGAAAGTTGTTTTCTAACAACTGCAGCCTGGTAAAATAGATAGACTTGTATCTAGAAGGAAGCAGAACTGCTACTAAGAAGCAAGCAATAAACTTAGCTTTACACTGCTCCAAAGGTAAACCCACGGTCTTCCGTCCCTAGGAGAGGAGCTTCAGTTCCCACACAAGGCTTGTAAACTCCAGCTGAAAGCAGGGTAGTCCCTCCTCCATGCAAGGTAGTCCCTCACTCCACACAGGGTAGTCCCTCACTCCACTGTGGATCAGACGCAGACCCTTGCTCAGCTGGCACATTTTCTAGGAAACTTCTACAGCTGAACCCTGAATCCCCACAGTTATTTCCCTCTGCAATGTTCTTACACAGCATTTCCTGTGTGCTGGGTACCTCCTCCCCATTCCCTCCTTGGTAATGGGTCCAGACTTCTAGCTTGAGCATCTCAATCTGAACTGACTGATGACAAAGCCCATCTCCAGATCAGACCACTGACTCCTTGCATTTCTATTTTCTTAGCATCTAGCACATAAAAGATGCTTCATAAATAAGTGTTGTAATGAAGTGTGTGGTAGCCAACACTGTATAAAGGAGTTGGAAATCAGGCAGGTAAATGAGCCTGCTTTCCTTGGAGTGACCGATCATTCAATAAATACCCATTCAAGATCCTTTCATAAGGTCTATGAGAGAGAATCGGTCCAGTCACCCAGAACATGAGGGGACTGAGAACTCAGTCCACTGGAATGCTCCTTTCTAGTTTTAAACCTTCTCCTCCCCAGCCCTTGAAGCTAACTGTACTGTAAAATATCACCAAAATGGAATATTTACATATTTATGTAATACTGCAATAAAAGCTGCTTGTTTTATGGAAAACCAAAAGTAATGGAAGAAACTAAGTATGTATAGGCTGAAGAATGAAAGAGCTGAGGTGCAAGGATGAATGCTCTGAGGGGACAAAAAGCACTCCAGGGAGAGAGGGCTACCTGCCCAGGTGGATGCCTAAAACAATTCAGAGCTGGTCAATCCAGGCAGAATCCCTGCCCCTCTTGTGCCTTTCTTGCAGTCTGTAAGCTGGGCTCACTAGACATTGGATTCTCCCATCTGACTGCTGCTGGGACCACCTTAGGTCTCCAGCATGGACCCTGACTGCCACTCATCTTCAGCCTACCAATGCCTAATTGGGTAACAAGATCCATCCCAGCTAGGATGCTTCCCCCTGCTCAAGTTCCTGAAAAACTATGCAAGGAAGAAGAGCCATTCCCTGTGGATGCAAGGATAGGGCAGCTTTCCATACCCACAGGAACTGGCTAGCTGTGGGACAAACTGCTGTCTCCTTCCTGCTTTCTTGTGGGCTAAAAGGAAGGATGCTCTATGCCAGCTTTCAACTGTCTTACTATATCCTATAGAATACATGCCATGATGGAACCCAGGAGAAAGAGAAAAAACTATCAGTGTATCCCATGTAGTAGTCTCTCTCTCTCTCT